TACACGGTTAAAATACACATGTTCACCCTATTGAGACCAGTTGTTATGGTGGAAACTTTGGCCGCTTTGCGGGACGGGAAAATATCATCAGATCGGAATGAAATTTTGCACAGAACCTTGTACCATAGTATCGACAAGAATTCCGACCCGGCCCGACGAATCCGACAAACTTTTTTTTTTTGCCATGAAAATGTGGACCACCCTACTATTCATTTATAATTATAAATCAATTTTTGACGACTCGTTACATCCCTAGTTATCCGCGATTCTTTGTCATACCGTTAGGGAGAGCCCACGTATCGCTCACGCTACAGAAAATCTAAGGATGGATCACATTTCTCCTCTCGTCTGTGTCTTAGGAATAATTTCGAGTACACCCTTGAAGCATCCAAGTCTCTGCGTCAGAAGACAGGCGACGGAACCATGACGTATCTGAACAAGGGACAGTTTTACCCCATCACCCTGCGGGAGATTGACAACAAAGGCCTGCAGCAACCAATCACCAAAGTCAGGGTGAGAACTAACGAGCTCCAGCCCGATTTGTCCTGTGTTCATTATCACATAAAGACCCACACACAGTGCAGGTAGAGGCTGTACGCGAGAGTAGACTGAAGGCTGATTGTGCCTTCACAGAGTGTGGTGATGGTTGTATTCGGAGAAGAGAAGTGCAGAGAAGACCAGCTGAAACACTGGAAGTACTGGCACTCAAGGCAACACACTGCCAAGCAGAGGTGTCTCGACATCGGTACATTTGTTATTTTATTTATTTATGTCTTTATTTTAATCGGTTGCATAATAAATAAAAGCTTGACATTTCCTGCACATCTAACGAGATCCAATGAAAAATATTTCTGCTGTCGCAGCTGACTACAAGGAGAGCTTCAACACAATCGGCAACATTGAGGAGATTTCCTACAACGCCATCTCCTTCACCTGGGACACAAACGAAGAGGCCAAAGTAAGATAGCAAAATGAATATACATGCACATGCATTCTAATGTTAAACTTCAGTTCCAATAAGGGGAATGTATAGACCATCACAGCAGTAATCACAATTACACCAAAATAGGAGTAACCCAAAAAGTGGAAAGGAAAAAAAAACAAACAAACATAAAAGCAACATTAGAGAGGAAGCCTAAGGAAAGTTGACATCTAATGTAAGCAGGAAGAGAATGGCATAGAGATTTAAAGTTTTGCCTGGTGATTTGAGGCAAGTAATACATAGAATAAATACAAAAATATTGTTCAACTGTGCTTCAATACGTGCCGTAGAATTAACATATACAGGATAGAAAATTAAAGAAAAATATGTGTTCAAAATATTTAAACCGTTAAATTCCAAACTGATAATGGTGAGAAGAGGGAACCCAGAAAAAGAAAAATAGACAAAAGAAAACAAGGACAAGCAAAAATGAAATCTAAAAATTGATATCTAAAACTGAAAAAAAAATGTGTGACAAGCTTGCGCAGAAAGAAAAAATAAGGACAAAGACACAAAGTAAAATACAAAAAGGGACAATAAAAAAATGTCTAAAAACAAAGGAAATGGGCAACGTGCATGTGACATATTTCCCTTTCAGCAAAATAAACATCATTTATAAACAGCAGCAAAAGAATGAGGAAACTCAGCGGGTGGGCTGAAGCGAGAGCTCCTTTTTCAATGGAGAGGCTGAAGGTGAAAAGTCTTCCTCGTTTGCTCACCCTCCCTTGGCCCTGACGTGTTGTTGAGAGGAGAGATGAACGATATGATTTGGCTTCCAAAGAGCCTGGCGGCCCACCCGTTAGTGTGCAGTCACACGCACACACACAGACCAGGATGTGACTCTAACCGTCTCATGACTTCAGGACGGTGCCCGTAGGATATTCATCCTTGTGTGTGCATTTGTGGTTGTCAGCAGCTTGTTTGAGGAAGATGATGCTCGCTTTTAGTTTGCCCTGCAACATTAATGCATGAAGTCTCACCCCTTTATTCTTTTTTTTAATTTTTTTTTTTTTTATCTGCCCAAATGTTAGCCAGGTATTGGGATATGTTCTAAATGGATGTTCAACAATGAAGTACAATAGTTTTATATATACACACATAAGCACAATGATTATCTGGTAAAAGTAAATAGAAAGCTGACCTCCGAGGTTGAACAATTTGTTGTAGATGCTGCCTGCGTATGCTAGAATTTTGTCATAAATAATGATGCGCTACACCACAATGTCAACAAAATAATGAAAAATGGACTAAGGCAATCAGTAGAAAATGACAACAACAACAAAGATGATGAAACAGGGGAGAAAGGGGACAAGTTAAAAAGGAAAAAAAATGTCCAAAATGTATTAAAGAAGGAAAATGGACAACGACAAAAGGCAAAGAAAAACATTCATGAATGATGGGGGGTTTAAACCAGAAAAATAATGCAAACAATGAAATGAGGACTAAAATGATAACCAAAACCAAAAAACGAATTAAACTAAGAATGCATTGTAAAAAAAACTTTTGGTGAAAGGGGAAAAGTGCATCAAAGAAATTTATAGGTGATATGCACAGAAGAAAATACTGCAAGCTAAATTTACAATTGAGGAATTTTTAAAAGTCTAACATTCATTTAAGAATACAAAGACATTTTTAAAAGTTTCAGAATTTTATAATTTCGCAAAGGTGTGTTTATTTGTTGTTATTTCTTGAGAGGAGAACACAATGGTTATCTTTTTAAAGAGATAACCATGTACAAAGTGGAGAGCAGACCTCTTTGACGCATATGCAATAATTTTGTCAAGAATGTCAATGCCCTAACCTGTAATATAAACATATTTGAGGGCGAGGAAATCCATCTGTTTACCACAAAAAACAGAATTAAATGTGCTACCAAAAACCTTCATGCAGTTTATGCATAGTCCGGAAAATAAACAGCAATGAAAACTCAACCTACTTTATGTATTGTCGCTCTATTTACCTAATTTGTATGCGTTTTCATTTAAAAAATGCTCAAAGATGACAAGGGTTTGATTTTATGATCTTTTAGCTCTTATATCATGTTCCCATATTATTTTCCTTCCACCGAGGGAAAGTTTATCTTTAGCTGGGAAATGAGTGCGAGTCGCTGTTGTCTGGATTTGTCCACTAGAGGGAGACACAGATCACTGAACGTTAGAAAAGACATTTGTTGCCTTCATTTAGCCATGCTGCTGGCGCCATGATCATTTCTCTAAAAATCAACAGTTATATAATTCTAATAATGTAATTTCTTCTATTTATATGGATTGGTCTGGAATGCAGTTAGCACATCTGCTTCACAAGTCTGAAGTTCGGGGTTTGAATAAGCTGCACCTTTTCTTTGCGAAGTTCCTTTGCCCCCCCCCCCTGGTCTGGCTCGTGTGACCTTTCAAAAGTGCATGTTAGGTCCATTGAGTACAGTGAACTGAACCAAAGCACTTAAAATAATGAATGTGCTTATTTATTTAAAAAAAAAAAGAATGGTCAAGGCAGACCTGCCAAAATGATGCGCCAACCCCTCATGTAAAAATCAGTCCTTGTCACGACGATGCCACAAGATGAGGCCATAGCAGTAGTGGACACAGCTTGGGCCTGAGGACAAAGATAGCAGAAGGGGAAATTTTTCAGAGCATAACGAAGGATAGGTTCCCTCAAAAAAAAAAGAAAAAACAAATTGCAGCATTTTGTCTTCAATCAACTCCTGATCCCTTGAATGGGTCTTCCTCAGATCTTCATCTCAGTCAACTGCCTGAGTACGGACTTCTCCTCTCAGAAGGGCGTGAAGGGCCTCCCCCTCAACCTGCAGATCGACACATACAGCTACAACAACCGCAGCAACAAGCCCATCCACCGGGCCTTCTGCCAGATCAAGGTGTTCTGCGACAAGGGGGCCGAGAGAAAGATCCGAGACGAAGAGAGGAAGCAGTCCCGCAGGAAAGGCAAGGTGGCCGACCTCAACCCGGGCCTGTCCTGTGAGTGGCGATGGCGACGCCTCAGAATGTTACGAGGCAACCGTGTGGCATGTTGGCGCCATAAAAAGACTTTAACCTGCTCCTCATTTTATGACCATTTTTACAGTCGTGGATGTCAAAGTGCCCATCCTGCAGAAACGCAACGACGTGACCATCTTCAAGATGATGAATGATCTCGAGACCCAGCCGGTGCTCTTCATACCTGACATTCACTTCTCTACCTTCCAGCGCCATGTGAGTTGTCGCACAAAACGCACATGCGCACTTTCATGCGCCATAGAGAGCCACGGATCCACCCACTCATGGGTCATGGTGACCTGCTCGGTACAGTAACAGGCAGGAACACAGTGTGTGTTGTTGCTGATGCCAGTTGCAGGAAGGAGAAAAGTACAAATTCTTTGTTGCTGTACTAAAGTCGAGTTTTCACACATCTGTACTTGAGTTTAACACATTACTACTCGAACTCAAGGCCCAGGGGCCAGACCGGGCCCGCAACATCATTTTATGTGGCAAATCAGGTATGTTAGCTACCATGATCTTTGCTGAAATCTGCACCAAAAATTCAAATTGCAGCAAAAAAATATTGTGTTCACTGTATTTTTTTCCATCAGTTCATTGATCGGTTATCAGAATTTAATTTTGCCAAATATCGGAAATCAGCATCTGCCTCAAAATCCACATTGGTTTGGCATTTATTCTTACCCTGAGGAAAAAAAAAAGGATACTTGGGGGCAGTGATGACTGCCAACAAATTTGGAAAAGTAAGATGCTCCTCATGTATGGCCTGATGAGCATCGCTCGTGGTTAACTTAAAAAATTATTTGTGGCAAATGCATTGTCTTGTGCCACCCCAAAAACCGCCTGCTTCTGGCATGTTTTATGAGCAGAGGCATGGCCTCGGTGGAACTTAAATGAAGAATAAGAGCATGCCGCACGCACACTTAAGTTCCGATTTTTATTAGTGTTGGCATGCAAGCAGCCGGCGGCCTGTCAGATGAGACGTGTTCACTGTGGACTCTGACCAGGTTGACCACGTCATACCACAAGCAAGTGTGTATGTGCATTTATATTTCATACAGGAGATAGTGAACAAACTCTTGTCTCTAATAATATGAGACAGTGATGAATCGTTCCCAAGATTGTCTCTGTGTATAATTAGATTAAAAAGAAACTATGTTGGTGGCAAACTTCAAGTGTGTGCATCTTAATGAAAAGATGACACCAAGATTTGCTAAATCCTCTGAGGGCCATAAATACAACTGTATGAAGACAGATGATCTGTCAAATAAATATTCATAATTGTATATTATGAGAATCTGTGGGTTTAAATGTTTTTTTTTGTTTTTTTTTTTTTTAATAACAGTTTCTCTGAGGTTTTAGTACCCTGTTGAAATTGCTTTGATTTTCATTCTTCTTCGTGCAGAATACATTTGCAGTGAACAGGGCCAGCCCACAAATAGTGAAAAGTCACGTATCACTGATGGCCATTTAATTGTATTGTATCATACACAGGGTGATTCAGAAAGAATACGCCAAAATCATCGTGCGATATTTCAAAAACGAAACACAGTAAGTGTCTTTGAAGGAAATGCACCATTTATAGAACTGACAAGTTCATTCATATTGTCAAATGATTGTCTGCTTCCAACAAGAAACTCATTGCAACACACCCTCTCAAACTGAGCCACGTTTTAGCAAATGGAATTGCAATCCCACTGAATGGAATCGTTCCACTTTTAAATGTACCATCCTCGAATCGTATCAAGATACGTATAGAATTCTATTTTACTGGAACGATGCACACCTTTACTCACAAATCAAAGCAAGAAAAGTGACCTGACCACAGCTGATTAAGTGAAACGTGTACGTCGGGTCGCTCGTATCTCGAGGCATCACTGTATAATATGCGGCCACTTTTCCTTACAGGAGCGCTTTCAAATGTGTTCGATTGGTATCAGGGAAAATGCCCCCTTTGCCCTCCATTGATAAATGTGTGTAAACTTTGAGTGCTTCCTGCTGGATAAACAATGATCTATGCATTGGTGCCAAAAAGAGCCCGCCTCCCCCCACTGCTAACATTTACTTTGGTTATTTTTGGTGCTGCTGCTAACTTTGAACCTGGCTATCACTTTCTGATAAACTCTTGAGCTTACTGGGTTCATCGTTCCCGGAATAGCATTCTAATCACACAAACACCTGCAATCAATACAGTGGAAGGAAAGAAAGCCTTTACAAGCATTTTTTTTTTTTTTATGAAACATTTGCTGGCCTCCCCGCTCCCGGGTTGTGGCTTCCCTCCAGTTCTAGGAGCTCAGTCGACATTTGGACTCATATCACCTCTCTAACTGGGTCAACCCCGTGAACTTGTTGGCCGTCTTTAAACCGTCCGGCCCTGGCATGTAGTGCTTTCCCAAAATGCACCGGTACCTCTGAAACCTCAATGTCAGCAACGGCCGATTTTGATTTCCTCCTGTTCAGTCTTGTGGTGTTAATGTCCGTCTGTCTGTGTGTGTTGCAGCCTTTCGCGGCAGAAGATGGAGAAGACAGGTGAGCCCCGATTTCACACTCGCTCTGTTCACATTTGGTTTCACAATTGCCACCGTGGTGACCTTTTGGCACCTTCTCAGTAAAAAGGCGCAAAGGGATAAATGTTGTTATTAGAGAGGGCTTGAAGGTGTTGCATACCCACATGTTCGTTCTCCAGTGTCTTTAACTGCCTGTTAACTGGCTGTGAAGGCCTCGTAAGAACTGATTTATCTGCCTGTTTGTCCCACGCAGCTCTGGCATGAAGAGGTTGCCCTTTAGCGATGATGAGTTCGGGTCACCGCCCAATAAGATGGCCAGGGCAGAAGAACCCAAGAAAGGTAGGCATACGCGTATGTGTGTGTGTGTGCGCACGCACACCCGTGCGTGCGGTTTAATACTAGTTAGAGGGGCAAGGGAGGGGTTCTTGCTGTGGGGAAAAACGTGTGAACGCTAGTACACGTGCATGTCAGCTTGCTCTGGTAGCCTCCTCTCAATTTCAAGCGTGCGCGCGCACACACACTCACACACACACACACACACACACACACACATGGACACATGCTGAGGCCTTCACTCATTGGCTTCCAACGAAATACCATTTGCACACAGGCACACAACAAACAAACCTGTGCCCTTTACCCTAGATCAGAGCCAGGCTAAGTAGTATGGCTCACGGACCAAATGCAGCCCATTCTGTTCTTTAATTGCCAATCGAGCATTCACATTAAAAGTGCTGTTATATCCCTCGCATGAATTTAACTGTGTTTCTGAAAATTGATTCCCAAAATTCAACATCGCAAAACCATCCAACTCCAAGAAAACAATTTCCTTCAAAAACAGAGAAGTCCAAAAATTTCACCGAACTATAAAATGACGCTGAAATGATCAGTATTTGAGCTTTCATTTCGAATTCTGTTATTATTTAAAACAGCAGATGAACTGAAAGTTGCTACAAATAAAACACCTGCGTGGTACACAGGCTCCCTCTGGTGGTATGTGAAATAATCACTGAATTCATTGTTCAAACTGTGCATAATGACACAGTGACTTTTGTTTTCAATTCCACATGGTAAATGTAAGTAACATTCAGTTGTATTCTGATTTTAAATACAATACATCTGAATGCAATCTTGAAGAACGTTATATGTATATATATAGTATATATATATAAATAAACACTAAGGCCGACTCTGATACTTTATTTCAATGTGGGTCACTATGGTAGTATTTTGGATGTATTTTGTGAGGCCGTATTTGTTACCAAAAAGTGTGAAGATATCTTATTTTAGGAGGTGCGAGGACATTGCTCGGGGGAAATGCAATAAGAATTACTGTATAATATGAATGCTTCAGAGCGTTGACATTATTGATTACCCTCATGAGGTTCCAAGAAGAAAACATGAAAGGGTCACAAGATATTTTGTTTACCCTGCATAATTTGTTTTTCAACTTTTTCCTCAGCTTATTAGGTCACTAAACATTTCCACACAAAATCCAGTAGACGCAACTAAAGGCTAATTTTTTTAGGATTTACATTTCAAGCTCCTTTTGGAGAAGCCTGACCTCAAATGTCTTTTAATCATCAATGGATTAAAAGGAATTGTGTTATTTAAAGAAAACAAAAAGTCCCACGTGGCCTTTTTTTGCGTTTGGCAAGCCGCTCAGCAGTTCAACCGGTCCGCCAGCTACAGGCAATGAGGTTGTTGTCGAACAAAGCTGTCAATCATTTGCAGCGGTGCCTCTTAAAATGACGCCAAACACATTTTCACATGGCGGCTCGAGACAGGTGATGGGTTGAGACAAACAACCGCTCATAGCATTACATGGCTACGTCTAAACACCTCCACCAGAAATGACTCATACAAGCACACCCTAAATTTGTCTTGAAATAGAAGCTGCTGATGGACGACGTGCAGTGTTTTCATGTTCCAAAAAAGGTTTCTGACCAAATAAATGTAATAAACTGGGTCTTGGGAAGAATGAGAGTCTGCTATCATGTCCCTTTTGTATGTTTGCAGTCATGTATGATGATTACAGTGTGTGCGTGCGCTCTGTCTGGGCCCTGAGCCACTTTTCTTTCTTTCTTTCTTTTTTTTTTAGTTGGAATAATGCCCGTGCAGTCTGGAGTCAGTTTAAAAAAAAAAAAAAGTGGAGGTATTTCGCATGGCAATGTCACTTGAGATGTCTGTGCCAGATGTATGGTTATTTTTGCGTGTTGACATTGTATTATAGAGCTGGAAAACCCTGATGGGTTTTAATATGAGAGATAAATTCAGATGATTTGAGCGTTTCATTGCGCAATGGAGAATCTTGACATCCGTCCATCCAGCCAGCCATTTTGTATAGAACATGTCTTTATTTATAGAGCGCTTTCGTGAGCCACAGTCACAGCCCAAGCCAGCTCCTCACCTCAGCTGTGGACTTGAGCAAGCAGCTCGAGTTTCCAGACCACGTCACAACAACCTCGCTTTGGCCAGACATCGTACTTACGTCAGGATCTTCAAGGCAGGTGCTATTGATAGAACTGACAGTTCCTTAGGGAGGATCGCCGAGAGGAGGCGAATGAGTAGAAGCGGTCAAAGGACCAGGAGCTAGTCGAGCAATGACAAAGAGGAAACTGGAAGGCACGCTGTGAAGCCCATTGAAATTGGGTGTATGGGCTTTGCTGGCCGTTCACTGTGCAAGGTGTCCATACTAGTTGGCATCACAGGTGCACAGAAAAGAAAGGCCACCATGGTGGCACCAGAAAGAGCCTCTAGATAGATGATTCTGGATGAAAAGGAGCCATCTGTGGGCCAATGCTCCTGGGACACAAGCCGGAGTCTGATTAACCCTGGCTGGGTCACCTGAGGGAGGGGTTATGATGTCGGAAGATCACTGATGATGTGTCCCAGTGCATCCAAGGATGTATCTCACACTTACATCAGATATCAAGTTGTTTTTCCTTAATTATCATACTGATAAGAGTTCTTCCAGATCTGGAAAATCTGAGCTATATACCGGTAATGTAAACGGATGACTTGATTTATATTTTTATTTACTGGCTCTTATGTGCACATAACCTTTGCCCTAATCTGTTACATGATCAAATCACGACTGATTGATAGGCTGTATTTACAGATCTTCAAGCCCTCATTCAGGACTTTCATATTAGGTGCAGTCAATATGGTTTGTTGCATAATAGACTGCTGACCTTGTTACTTGTCCTGTTTTTTTGTTGTTGTTGTTTTGTTTTTTTTCCCCCTGACTGTTGATTTTTTTTTTTTTTGCCACAAACTTCTCTACTCAAAAAAAGTTCTTTTAAATAATCCGAATATTTCATACTGACAAGAATGGAAGCTCTTTCGTGTGTTTTTGTGCTAATTTGTGAATTTATTGTTGTTTTTCTCTCTCACACACACACACAAAACGATTCTGAGGTCTGATATGTCACTATACAAGTGTAAAGTGGCATAATAATCATTCATCTGGAAAGCTCACGTGAAGCACTTTAATATGAGGTATTACTTGACAGGTGAGCTGTCGTTAATGGACCGCTTTGTGTTTGCCCACCACAGTCCTGTTGTACGTGCGCAAGGAGACGGAGGAGGTGTTCGACGCCGTCATGTTGAAAAATCCCACACTGAAAGGCCTGGTGGACGCTGTAAGTATATCATTATTTAATACAAAAACTCGCCCAGATGAACTCGGGGACCTTTCTGTTTAATCAGTGGCAGATGGAGACCTCGCCGTCTGCAGCTCTGGGACGACATAGCAGCTAAATGAGCTGTGACGGGACGCCCACCTGGTCCGCTCGGGTCCAGAGTGGGAAGCATTTAAGAAAACATGACACGGTTTTGTGTTTTCAGATTTCAGAGAAGTACGACTTGCCTTTGGACAAGGTTGGAAAAGTCTACAAGAAGTGCAAGAAAGGGTACGTATGAGTCACAATGAGCAAAGCTAACTGACAGGTAGTTTTTGTTTTTCATGTCATGTCTCTCACGTCACATATTGGGCATGCCCGCCTCCTGTGGGAGGTTTCACTTTCCAACTGCAGCTGAAGCAGAGGGCTTGTTCAGCTGTCATACAGTCAGTGGCAGATCTGGGTCTATTGTGAATCCAAATCTTTACAATGTTAAAAGGCTTGATTTTGATTGACGTTGTCAGAGAGGGATTCATTGAAATATTTTTAGTGCGTGGAACAAAAATCAAAAAATTTTTTCGGATCCCATTTTTGTGTGCTTGTAACAAGGATAAAATATGAAAGTAGGTCTAGCCATGAGCCATCGGCTTTAACCCTTTCAGGGACAGCGGTTACTCCAGTGGACATCTTATCAGGTTCATGCACATTATTTGTGCATGAAAGGGTTAATGTTATGCCACTGAATTGCTTTAAATTTGGTTAAAATATTCAGTTTGTCTCACATTCAGATAATGAAGAAAAATATTCAATATAAGCAATAATATAGATTTTATTTTATTTTTTTAAATCAAGCGTAGGGAGCTCAACTTTGTGCAGCTGAATGTTCGTCCCTCCTGTTTCGTTGCTAGTGTTGTATAGAACATAGTAACGTCTGTACTGCATGTCATTAGACAGCAAACTACGCAGCATCATGAACATTTGGAGGACGCGATTCATTGTGGTGATTTTATTTGGAAAACCAATGTCATGCTTTTTTGTTTATATGTCAAGTTTGCTCTGACGAGTACCAAAAACTCTGTTTTTCAGGATTCTGGTCCACATGGATGACAACATCATCAAGCACTACTCCAATGAAGACACCTTCCAGATCTCCATGGAGGAGATGGGCGGCATGTACAAGCTCACCCTCACGGAAATCTGATTGGACGCAGCAGGAAGCGGAAGAAGAGGAGGAGGAGGAGGATGAAGGGTTTACACTGTACATTAATGATGGACTTGTATCATCTTACAAGGCAAAACAAAAAGAAGTGGTATTTAACAAGCCATATAGCTCTTAATGTGCCTCATTGTTAATTGATTCCAAGGAATGTGAGGAGATTTTTTTTTTCCTCCTTGTTTCCTGTATGTGTTTTGTACAAAGCTTCAGTGGTGCTGCTATACCTCATTCTCCTATTGCAAAAAGCAGCAGTGTTTCTCATTATCCTGACATATTGTGAGGAGAAACAGCTCATTTTAATCAAGCCATAGCACTGATGATTACAACCGGTTACGATGAATAGTTACTGTATAGCTCGTAAAATGAGCACAAGGTTAGTAAGGACGAAAGAAAAACCCTGAATATTCAATGTATTTATCACATAATTAACAGGTAAAGAAAACATGGCAGTATTTAGCATGTAAAAATCATCTTTGTACAATTAGGAGAGATGTTCATGCATGTTTTTTTAAGAGTAGGACACATTGTTTGAGAGTGAAATGGCTTCGATTTCTGACCAATTGAAATAATCTTTAGTATTGTTAAATAGAAGGCGAGAACGCATCTTCCCTTGAGAACGAGTCTTGCGTAGGTAAAGTAGTTAATGAATTGGTCTAGTAAAGTCACCATACTGTTCTGCAAGTGCAATATGACATTTGGATTCAGAAAAAAAAAATACAGCATGAAAATATTGTACATATCCTTTCAGAAACATGCTTACATCTTCGGATCTTCTTTATATCGCAGTACTTACTTGTGTGTTTGTGTATATATTTATTACAAAGAGAATGGTTGTGGGGTTTTTTTTTTTTTTGCTTTGTATACTGTATTCAGATTTCTATCATGCCTGATATGTTTTTATATGGATTTATTATTGCATTGCGTGTCAAGGGAAAAGAGGTTTTTGTTTTTCATTTTAATGGAAGCGCTACTTTTTTTTTGTTGTTGTTGAACAGATTTGAATGCACAATAGCGCTCAATAAAAGCTCGCTTGTACTGCTGTCTTCCTGTCTTCAAGTCAAATGATGGATGCATATGTATTACAGTGTGTGTTCAGGAGCAGATGTCTGCATGGGCATGGGATCAACACTGTGGGGACTCAGGAAGCATGCACGGGTGCTGACACCACCTGGATGCCATTTCCTGTGCTGGCCCTTTAAATAATATTCTTTTCAAAAGCTCACTCAAGCTGTTCAGTACATTGATGGAGCTACAAAAGAGAAGTCCCTCTGAAATGCCAATGAAAGAACTCGTACAAGGTTGAACATATAGCGATGCAAATATGCCCCCCAAGAGGCAGTTGGAATTCTTGGAGTTACCATATTTAAATCGCACACTGACTATTCTTCAGTCAGTGTGTTTTACGTACCGGTAATCGTATTTAAAAAGATATAAAAAGTCTACACACTCCTATTCAAATGCCAGGTTCTTGTAACATAAAAAAAAATGAGCCCAAGATAAATTTTAATGTGACCTAAAACCTATAATACTAAATTGATTTTTTTAAAGTAACTGAGATAATGTAGTTGCACAAGTGTGCACACCCACTTATAAATGTGATGCGGCTGTTTGCCGTTTCAAAACCACAAGTTTGAACGTAGCCTCTCTTCACGAATCCCTCCACCCTTTGAGTCTTTGACCAAATTATAATGCAATAATGAATGTATGTGGTTGTGATAGTCGTAGTGGAAATCGCATACCAGTAAAACTGGTGGGAAAAATAACAAAGAAAAGTCCATAAATAAGAGTCAGTGTTTGCACAAAACCACCAGGCACTGCTGAAAAGTAAGAAATCAATAAATGAAATGTCAGGAAAAGCCTACTAGAACATCTTAAGTGTAAAGAGCCACTTCACATGACTTTGAATGTGACTGGTTTAGCCTGAATACAGCCACATCCCCATTTATGTGAGGGGCGTGCACACTTTTGCAAACAATATCTCAGTTGTGTATTTTTACTTCACTTCTCGATAGGATTTCATTTTTGGTGGAAAAGGTTTTGAATTGTTTTTATCATGGCAAGCTTTTTCTATTCCTTCTACTTCTTTCACTATGACTACTTCTACTCTCTCATTCGTCATACTTTCCTGCAGTTTGGATCCCACGAAGTGCAATGCCACCTCTCTCAAAAAGTCACTGTCAAGGTTATTATAGTTGACGAAAACTGACAAAACAACAAAAACAAAAATTCCCAAAACATTTTCGTGACCGAAATAAAGTAAAAGCGAAAATGCTTTTGAAAAAACCCCAAAACAAAACTAACTGAAACTACATCTTACGTTTATAAAACAAATTAAAAATTAACTACAATCCTCGCGAAAATTACTTTCGTTTTCGTCTTTCTCTTTTGTCTTTCAGGGACAGCGGTGACTACAGTGGGCGGCTTATCATATTATTCGGTTACAGAGTGCATGAAAGGGTTAATATTACACATGAGCTTTTGGTGTTCATTTTACTGTCAATTTATTTTGGTGTTGTCATTTTGTCAATATGAAATCTTTCCATAATTGTTTTTGTTGTAACTAGGTCACTTAACAAGTTGTGCGCTGGTCTGACGCACATGCCGGTGTTGATCATAATTATCACGGGTGTGTCCAGAGTACATGGAGACAGAGCGGCATAAGATGACGGCGGTGACAGTCAAGTGTGGAGGATGTCTCATGTAGATATCATTAAAATAAAGCAAACGCGCCAAAAATTACCATACTTCCCCCCCCCCCCCACATAATTTTTATCCCTTTAGGATAAAGCCATCTGCTCTCAGTCTTTGACTCTCTCACTTTCCCTCTCTCTGGATCCCTCTTTCTCTCCCTCTCTCCAGACACTGTGCCAACTTTCCTCACTTGTCCTCATTTCACCTCACACTTTCTGTTGCTGTGCTCGAGAGCCAGCCAGCTCTTTGCGTTTGATATATTTGGAGGGGCGGAAAAAAAGGGAAAATCCGGGAGCAGCTGAGGACATTCACTATCTCCATGAATGGCAGCACGTTGGTCTTGTGGTCAGCGTGTCTGCCTCCCAGTCAAAGGGTCCTGATTTCAAATATCGGTTCAAGACTTCCTGTGTGCCCCCCCCCCCCGGCCTTGCCCCTGCCTGTGACCCGAATGACTCTATGTGCTTTGTGTCTGGGGAGACTTCAAATGAAGCATCCAGTTACTTTGCTCTCATGTCATCACCTATACAAGAGGCAGTTATGGGGTTTTTTTTCATTGTGTTGGTTTCTTTGTTTATGCCATGATTTCTGTGTGTATATTTCATTATTTATTTAATTTGTTGTTTGTTTGTTTTTATTATTATTAATAGAAATACCACGACGAGTGCGATTATGCACTCTTGCCATGCATTCATTGACCTCACTCAGGTTGTTTTCAGTGTACGTTATTTTACATTCAGATTCGATTTCAGTTCCTTCACACTTGGAACCACTTTCTAACGTATGCTCACTTTTTTACTGTACTGGATACATTTTCCATTTCAGCCATTTAATTGTGTCAGCAGTTATCGCCGATGTTTTATTGATTGTGTCTGTTTTTTATGGTTTTTCGTTTATTATTTGTTGTTTAAAAAATTGCAGTTATCAGTACTATATTATACCGTGCTCTTTCAAAAAAATCCAAACTGAATGCTTGAATCATACCTTGAACTCAACACGTAGAACAGTATCATTATTCACCTTTATGTAATAAAAACATGCTCATGAAAACACAGTTGGAAATATTCTGAGTAATCATTAATGATGTGTTAGATTTTTACGCTAAATGTTTTATTGCGCCAATCAATCGTCCATGTTTCCATTTATTGAAGTGTGAAGTGTGAAGTGTCAGGTGCCACAATAGTCTATCGTCAGCTGTGTATGTGAAACTCAACTGATATTTTATTATTGACACCATTCAAATTAGTGCTTAAACGTTTCCTGTCACAATAATTTCAAGCGACGTCAGGTTGACGGTGACCATATTCTGGCAGGTCACCAATTTTTTTTTTTTTTTTTGACAGCACATTTTGTCTATGGGTGAGCCGCATTCACAGAAACGCTCTCAGAGGTAGAAAACTGAAAACGTCCTGCTGGGAGCCGATGAACTCGCTGTGTCCACACTTGTTATGACATAACACAAGCGCTCCTTTGTTTCTTGTGTGGACTGGAAATAGCAGCGATCGTCTCCGGTGAAGTGCAGTCGAAGTGGACTCAGTAACACCAAGGCTGCATTGTGATTGAACACCAATATGATGGCAATTGCACAGATTTTGCAGCCCGCAGCAGCAGCAACAGCAGTATTAGGCAGCCGCACATGCTCAGTGCGTCTCCAGGGGAGGCTCCACCGTCGGGAGACCTGGCAACGCTGCCTCCTGCTCCTCTAGTTGCCATGACAACAGCCAGCCAGCCAGCAAGCTGGCAATCAGTGTCTCCTAGCAGCAGATTGGCCTCAGTGTCTCCCGCTGACCAATCAGGAAGCGACGGCTTGTGGTGGAATGTGTTGTTGTTGCTCATGTGTGGGAGAGGAAAGCCACTTCTGCTGATCGCTACACAAAGCATCCACCATGTTCGCGACAATGACATCATCACCACAGCTGCGCTTGAGAAAATGCATCATTGGTTCTCGTGTAATATGAACTTGAATCTTGTTTTGACTTGATGAACGTACCGATAGAAGGTTTGCTTGGTTGACAAGCTGAAAGTAAAAGTTGTTGGTCGCCCATCAATTAATAACACTGGTCAACACATTTATTTCAGTTTTGTTTTGTTTTGTTTTTTTTAAGTCAGAGATGCAAGTAAACTTTTCTAGAACACTTTTTTGCACTGATTCCAAATCTGCCCTAGATTTTTTCTATGTACATCAGGTTTTCATAATAATAATAATAATAAGAAGAAGAAGAATATTACAACAATTATAATAAACTGGATCAGGAATAAAATTGACTAAATTCAACACACCATATTTTCTCTGTGTATGACAACAATTATAATAAACTGGATCAGGAATAACATTAACTAAATTCAACACACCATATTTTCTCTGTGTATGTAATTTATCAATATTCATTCATTCATTTTCAAAATCCTGAACAGGGTCGCAGCTGATGCTGGAGCTTACCCAAGATGACTTTGGGCGGAAGGTGGAATACACCCTGAATTGGTCGCCAGTCAGCTGCCCAGCACAATTTAATAATATATTTAGTAATATATGTGAACGAATTGATTTCCCCCCCCCTGAAACGTCATAGCTATAAACGCATGATAAAATCAGTATTGCGTAAGATTTTATAGCTCAAACTCCATCTATCCATTTTCTGGTCTGCTTGTCCTCACAAAGGTCACGGGGCGTGCTGGAGCCTATCCCAGCTGTCTTCGGGCAGCAGCTTTTTGTTGTTATTTTGAAGCAGTCCAGTCAGAAGAAGACCATTAGAATAATCAAGTCTACTGGAGATAAAAGCATGGATAGGCTTCTCTCGGTCTGCTTGCAGCATGTAATTTTTCAAGCAGTATGTTTTTCAGCTGGTAAAAGGCTGTTTAAGTAATTGATTTGATGTGGCCGATGAACGTCAGATCTGTATCAATCAGCAACACCAAGGTTTCGGACTTGAACAGTCAAGTGTTTACAAACAGCAATCTCTTTTCTCTACTGTCAAAAACAATTACCTATATTTTTTGGGGGGGTTATTTGAAGGAATTTTTGCTTCATCCAAGTATTAATTAGCATGATTATTGAGGTACATTGTGAGATTATAATGTTAGTTTGGGAAAAGGGGGGATTTGTTGACTGTAAACACAGAGGGATCAGCAGAGGCTACAACTGACAGGTTTTACATACTACGCCAATAAATAAAATTATAAACTAGTTCATTGGGTGCCATTCCTAACCTCGAAACGTCATACTTTGGGGATATTCTAAAGTGAGGACCCACTGTACAAGTGAAACCGTGGGTCTTCGGTCGGCTGTCAGAGGACTGTGCAGGAGCTGTTTGTAAAATATGGCCCGGGTTGGTATATTTAACCCTGCTCGGGCAAC